TCCAATACAGAGCTGGGCGAGCAGACACCCCCAGCCCAGCAAGATGCCCTGCCACTCAGTGCTGCACAGACGCCAGCAGCCACACTGCCAGCCACTCCAAGGGGCAGGACGGCCTGGGTGCTCAGCTACCAGGGGTCGGACATCTCCTCTACAGCCCACCTCAGTGGGGCTGGCAGGTGCACGCAGCTGTGCAAGAAGCTATTTCCCGTTACCTGTGTGTTTAACTTTTTGTATCGCTTAGCTGTTCAAACAACACATTTTTAAAGAGAAAAGAGGGGGCTGGCTGCTCCAGTTAACTGTAGGCAGGAAAATAGAGCAAAAAGGTGTTTACATGCATGATCTTTCTTCTTCCCACAGCAGCAACGGATGGCTGTGGTCTCCATTCTACATATGGGGAAACTGGGGAGGGCCCCTAGCTAAGCCTGACTCCACATCCACTGCTGGGCTTGGGACAACTATTGTCCACGGTTAGTGATTCCATCCCCCACCTGGGCCTATGGATTTCTCACAAATTCTGAGTGGCCTTCCCCATCTGGGAGCATGCAGCGGGTGCAGTTTTAATTGAGTTGTGATGTCTTTTTCAATGTGCTACCTTGAGATGCTCCCCTGTTAGGCAGAAAAATCTCCCTGCTCCTTTCTCGCTCAGGAGTTGCAGTGGATGAAGTGGAGCCCGTGGCTGCTTGTGAGCCATGGGTGGGTGACCCTGGGTACTGAGAGGCCGTGGGGCACCCTGCCTGCAGTCAGTAGGGCTGCAGCTTTAGGGAGTGACTCCGTGCTCAGGGCAGAGAAAGCCATCTGGCCTGGGAAGGCTCTGGATGTGCGCCTCCGCCAGGGCTGCCTCACTGACTCTGAACTGACGAATTCATACCCGGACCCTCTCACCTCTTTAGCAAGTGGGGATGGTGCCCCCAGGCATGTCCCCTTCAGTGCCCACCTGCGTGGGAGAGAAGGTGCACACTGGGGTCGGTGTCCCCAGCTGGACCGGGCCTGGCCATGCCCGGCTGCTCACCTCACAGTCCCCTCAGAAGCCCTGGTCACTTCCTGCTGTCCTCCTTCACTTCCCTTCCACTTCCTGTCCCCCACACAATGTGGTCCCTGCCCCTCTTACCCACTCCTCGGGGTGCTGTCAGCCCCTCCATGGACACCCACCAAACTCACTCCTGGGCCCACTCCTCTCTCAGAGCCCCTGCTTTCTTCCCAGCGTCCAGTGGGAAGGTGGGATGCAGCGGAGCAGCTGAAATGGTGCACAGGCAGGGCGGCCACTTTCCACTGAACACAGTGCCAAGGTGATTCTCAGGAGCCACAGAACAGTGTGGATGAAACACGCGAGCCACTCCCACTGTGAGGGCGGCTTCTGTGCCTCTGCTCTAGCAGGTATGTCTGGGGGTACGGTGCCCTTCCGAGTCTCCCAAGGGATCCTATGAGCACTGTTGGATGGGGTCCCATGTGCACCTCAAATTTAACATGCCTAGGACCAGGTTTGTTCTCTGCCTTCCCAGCCCCATCTTTCCGCACTGTCCCTTGTCTCAGATAGAGGTGCCTGGGCCTGCACAGTCCTGTGGAACCCTGGATTCCTAGGCGTCTGGCTGCTCCCTCCCCGCCTCGCTGGCCCCTGGCTTCAGCCTGGCCTGGGCCTGCTGGGGGCAGGCACTGCTCATCCAGCACTCTCCTTCTCTGGCCTGGCAGGGTGACCCCTGAAGTGTGGGGGCCCTATATGGAGCAGGCAGGACCCGAGGGACACTCGGCTTTAGCTGTGACCAGAGGGAGACGAGGCCATGGCTGGGGTGCCAGGGAGCATGCGAGGAGCCCCGCTGAGGCGAGAGCCAGGCCAGGGCGCCCCTCCTGCCCTGCTGTGTCCAACCCACCCTGCAGGCCTCTCCACCACCTTCTAACCGGCCTCATGGCTCTCTGTCCTGCAGCTGAAAGTATCTGCACAGGCTGCCCCTTCAGTGCCACTGCCCTCGCTGAGGTAGCTGTGCCCAGCCTAGCCCGCTTTGCCATCCACTTGCCTTCTTGCTTAAGACCTCTCAGAAATGGGCTGGGTGACTTCTCACCAGGATGACCCAGAGTCCTGACCCGGAGTCCTCACTCCCAGACCTGGGAACTTTATCTTTGGCCACTTTCCTCACATGGCCCTCCCAATGGGTGGCCTAATGGAACTGCATGTTCCTGCTGGGTCTCCACAGCCCCCTGGGGGTGCGGGCAAACTGTGGGACCCAGGCCACTGAGCTCCACGCTCAGCACTCCTGGGCCCTGAAAGGGTACACAGCAGAGGCTCTCACTTTTTAGAACAGAAACATGAATCTTGGAAAAGAGAACACACCTGCTTCATGTATTCATTTATTCCTTCTGTTTCTTCTCCTTCTCCTTCACCTGTATTGGGGATTGGACTCAGAGCCTTTGCACTGAGCTACATCTCCAGCCCAACTTTTATTTGTCTTGCTAAGCTGTTGAATTCCCAGGGCTAGACTCAAACTTTTGATCTTCCTGCATCAGCCACCTTGAGTGCTAAGCTTACTGGCGTGTGCCACCACACCCGTTTGTCTGTCTCTTAGTGCTGCTATGTACCAGATTCTGGTGACTAGTTTTAGGATTCCTGCCCTCAAAGAGTTTATGATCTGGAAGGGGTAGGCAGAGCAAGTGAAAGATAACCTACAGAGAGTGCCGATTGCCAGGCAGAGCTTTCAGTGAAAGTGACAGGGCCTGGGCAGCAGCCCTACTTGCAGTGAGAAGCAGGAAGCACACCCTGTCCCTCCCAGGAAGGGAAATTGCGCTGAGACCTGCACTCCAGGAAGCGTGGCTCTGCCTGGAGACTCACCGCTATCAACATGTTCTGAATTTGCTGCAGGTTAATTTTCAAATTCTCCTGTTACTATTCAAAAAATCTCTGCTAGGTGTGGCAGCTCATACCTGTAATCCCAACACTCTGGGAGGCTGAGGCAATAGGATGCAAGTTTGAGTCCAACCAGGGCAACTTAGCAAGACCTGGTCTCAAAATCAGTAGGGTTGGGATGTAGCTCAGCATGATGGGTAATGTGTTCAATCCCCAGTACTGAAAAAAATTCCTGTTCTCCCCTAAGCTATCCTTTTGCAAAGTGCTGAAAAACTGGTAGAAAAGTACAGTGTTTCACTTAGTAGCACCCAAATAAAACTCAAGGGTTTCATAAAGGAAAAATGCTTTTCTTGTCATTACTTAGGACAATTCAGGTATAGATCAACACAAGACACACTGAAAGCCCCCGATGCCTCCAAAAAGAGCAAGGAAAAGCCATCTAATGTCCAAGACCAAAATTAGGAGAATTTTAAGCCCGAACAGTTTTTATAAGATAGATAAAAACCAGGACTGCAGCATACACTGGCTCGTGAAGGTGACGCGGGGACCTGCACTTGGACACACACTGAGGGGCACCTGGGGCGGTGAACAGGGCCTGGCACCCTCAGGGCACTGAGCCAGCCTCGGTCAGGAGGGGTCTGGAAGGGACAACGCCAAGCGTTGCAAGAGGACCTAGAATCTCATTTTTTAGAGAAAAGCATTTTTATTAGTGCCTTTTAATTTTTATAGAATACTGAGTTTCAGTTTTTATATTTTTCCCTTATACATTTCATTTTTATACACACATGTGGTTTGACCTTCTCCACCCTCTCCACAGCCCCCCATATGCATGCTTTCTTCTCTCCCTTATTCCCTTCCCTCATCCAAAGCAGACCCTCCTACCTTCCTGTCACCTTTTTAACACTCACATAGCAGGGAGATAAGGCTATCAGAGTCACTTGTTTCACTTTACACGAAGGTCTCCCTGCAGATGAATGATTCATTTTTCTGTACAGCTCAGTAATGCTCACTGGAGCACATTCTCCTTTCCCTCCCATTGGTTGCCAGGTGTTCAGGCTGACTCCGTTCCCGGGCTACTGTGAGGACCACAGGTATGCAGTTCCTGCAGGACGTTGCTCTAATTCCTTTGGGTGTACAACAGAGTGGGCTAGCTGGGCTACATAGAGGGTCTGGTTTTTCAACCTTGAGAAGCCACCCTTGGGTAGTTGTAGTTGCATGGGTTGTTTTGGTGTGCTTTAGTCTATGCATCTATTTTTGTGCCAGTACCATGCTGTTTTGCTTCTATGGCTTTGTAGTATAATCTAAAATCAGGTATTGTGGTGCCTCCTACCTTGCTCTTTTTGCTTAGTATTGCTTTAGCTATTCTGGGTATTTTGTGTTTCCATATCAATTTTAGGGTTGCTTTTTCTAGTTCTGTGAAGAGTGTCATTGGTATCTTGATGGAGAGTGCATTGACTCTATAGCTTGCTTTTGGTAATTGCGGCCAATTTAATGATATTAATTTTGCTGATCTGTGAATATGGGAGGTGATTTCATCTTATAGTGTCTTCTTCAATTTCTTCAGTGCTCTGTAATTTTCATTATAGAGGTCTTTCACCTACTTGTTTAGGTTGATTCCTAGGTATTGTATTCTGTCTTTTTTAGGCTACTATGAATGACATAGTTTTCCTGGTCTCTGACTTTCTCCACTATCCTGCAGAGCCCTTCTCTTCCCTTCATCACAGGATGTGAGTGCCTGTCTGCCCAGGGCAAGTAGGGACATTTGAGAGGGGTCTGCTGGGTGACTGTGTCTGGTGTCACAGCACATCAGGGTGTTGGGGGCTGGCCTGACCCCAGAGAAGCCAGTTAGACAGTGTGGGTAGCCTGTAGGCTTTGGAACCAAAGCACACCTAGGTTTTAACTGTGGCTCTGCCCAGCACTTACCAGGTGTAGGACATTGGTAACACATTTTACCTCTTCTAGCTTGGGTTTGTCTACAAACCCAGCGCTATGGCCCACCTCATAGGATTGTTAGAACTGAGTGGCATAATGTGTGAAAACACCCCTTAAAGCTCAGATCTCTGCATTAAAAGGGACTTATCTTTGTGTGTGTGTGTGTGTGTGTGTGTGCCTGCCTGCATTTCAAATCACAAATCTATTACACTAAACACCTTTACTCTTTCTCTAGCAATAACCTTGTTTTTTCAAAAAGCAACAAGACTAAAGATTAAGAAGACACATTCTGAAACAGTGACTTCCTGATGTGATCGTCTTTCCTAAGGCAAAGCCTCCTTTCTCTGTGTGGGAAGAATTCAGCGGCCTCCATCAAGTGCGCCCAGCACCTACACGCCCACAGCCTTGGGAACCAGTGCTGGGAATAACCATACAGTTTCTGCACAAGGGAAAATCTCACGGAGCCAGAGGGAAGCAGTAATCAATTCTGGTTTTATGTGTCACACACATAAATAAATAAGGCATATCAAATGTGTAAGATGGGCCTACTCTGGTTTACAATCCATCAAATTCTGCTATCAAAACATTTAGAGAGGCTGAGACTCCCGGGATTTGTTCTATTGACAGCTCCCAGCATAACCTTTCCTTTCTGTTTCCCTTCTTGTGGGGGTTTGTGCTCACTCCATCTTCCTGGGGCTGCAGGAAGGACAAGATTTCTCTGCTCCCCTGGCGTGGATCGGGCGAGACAGAGCTTTTCAGCAGCTGTTAGATTCTGTCTGTTAGATCTCTTTCTCTCTCCTGCCTCCAGCCCCACCCTCTGGGTCCCCAAACCCATGGCTTTCTCTTGAACCCTTTCATCTGCACCTCCAAGAGCCTTCCCTTCATCTCAAAGCCTGGGACAAAGGCTGAGGATAGAAAGTCCTCCACAAAGCCATTCATCCAAGCCAGGGAGAGGCAGAAACATGCAGACTGGCCTAGCATCCGGAGGCTGGGTCTCTGCACCTCTCTGCCCAGGACTCGGGGTATGGGAGGCTGAAAAATGTGCCCCAATCCCAGGGTATCTAAGTCATATCTCTGGAATGAGGGGATGTATGGTGAGGGGACTCTGACATGGGAATTAAGTCCCTGGAGATGGAGAAACCATCCTGGATATCCAAGTGAGCCCTGTGTGACCACAGTGTCCATGTAAGCGGGGTAGAGAGATGGCACAAAGAAGGAGGTGTGGTGATGGGAAAGGCATGGGCTCAAGTTGCTGCAAAGATGGAGGAAGGTGTCACACCGAGGAACATAGGCAGCCATGAGCAAGCAGCAGGCAGAGGCAAGGACAAGGGCTCTCCCTGGAGGCCAGGGAGTCTGACCTTCAAGGGAACGGTGGGCAAACTGAGCCACCTGCAGCTTGGCCTGGCCCACTGGGGAAGGAAGAGGCCAAGCTCCCGTGGCCCTGGTCATGCCAAGCGCTGCCCTTGGGACTTGACAAAGGCTGGAGCTCCAGCCCTGGCACCACCACGAGGCAGACCTGCCACGTTTCCCCAGCCAGGTGTGGATCCCAGTTGAGGGAGACAGTCTTCAGAGACCCGCATGCTGGCTGGCCTTGTTCTCTCCCCATTCAGCTTCCAAACTCTTCTATCCCTCACTTTATGGTGGCACTGACCCCATGCCATCTCTTCCCTGGGCCTGTCACCTGCTCTGTCTGGGCCCCGGCTCACATGCCATTCCCACAAAACCTCTGTCCTCCAGAGAGACTCTGACAGGCCCAGCTGCAGAAATCCTGGTGCCATCGGAGCCCAGGCCTGGGCCGACATCCTCCTTTTCAAGTTCTGAGAGATCGGATGGCAGCAGGGTCGGGACCCTGCCTGGAGTCTCGGTGCTGTGGTGAGGAGGATGTGGGACCTTAAGGCTGTACCTCAGGGAGCAGGACCTCATCTCCAGGGGGCTGGTGCTGCACCTGTTTCTAAGTCAACTGGACAGTGGTTTTTCTTCTCATCTTGTAGGCCAAAGGAGATGATGGGTTCGAGGGTCACCACATTCTCCTTCCTGCTCCCCACCTCCTTCTGGCCAGAGCCCTCATCCCTTCCCACCAGTGCAGCAGTAGCAATGCCATGGGGAGTGGCCTCCCTTGGGTCTTGACTGTGCAGACGTGGAGCAGCGTAACAGGCAGGAGCCTCTGCAGGAGCCTTGCCTTCCCCAAGGAGGAGCGGAAAATGCTAGAAGCCACCTTCCCAGGAGGCCATGAAGGCTGCAGGGAGGTTTTCTTCAGGGATGCATCCCAATGCCTTCATTGCCCAGCTCTCTGCTGGTTCCTTCTGGTTTGTGAAAACAGGCAACAGGAAGGCTGCTACCTTTCTTTTGTATAAATAAAATGGGTAAGGGAACTAGGGAGGGGAGTGGGGAAAGGAAGGATGAGGAAGGAAAAAAATGAGAAAAGAAGGAAAAAGTGGAAACAAAGCTTTTGTAAATCAGAAGGGGAAGAGGGGTTGAAGGGAAGGGAATGAGGAAAAAAAGAATCAAGATATATCCTGTACAGGAACAAATTCCCTGTGATGAATGTGATCATTATGTATGCCTAAAAGGTACCAATAAACTTAACTAAATTAAAAAAATAAAAAAATAAAATTTACCATTTTAACAACAAATTATTAAAAAAAAAGAGAAACATTCTAAGCACTGTGTGCCCCAAGGGGTTAACAGGAATGAATCCTCACAAGACTGCTGTGGGAATCAAGCAGTACCATCCATTGAATTGGCATAACACATCTTGGTACATAGCAAACATCCAGTATATGTTAACTCATTAATAAGACAATAAAAATGAAGTAATAAAAATAATGTTGTGATACCAATAATAAAAACAGTAGGATGCCCTATCTTTGTAGCAAACCCAACTTGTCCCAAGCCAAAACTACTACTGGCTTCCTCGTTTCTTCTCTTTGATGCCATCTGCAGGGGACCAGCTCTCCTCCGGGAGGCTCCCACACAGCCAGGCACCCTGGATGCTCCCCGCTGGGCCATCCTTCCTGTGTGTGCCAGGTGCACCTCAGTGTGAGTTCACGTTGTCCCACGTTGTTCCGGGTGGTTCTGCACACACTCAAGCCACATCATACCTTGCCTGGGTTATGGAAATGGAATGAGACTCTTGCCTTAAGTGGTATATTGGTCCATTTTTCATTATTCTAACGAAATACCAGATGCAATCTACTTTATACCGAAAAGGTTTATTGTGGCTCACTTTCTGAAGACACCAGGTCAAAGAACTGCATTTGGTGATGGCCTTGTAAGAGTTGGGGGAATGTGTGTCTCCTGGTCTCTGTCCCCTCCTTACAAAGCCACCTGGACTCAATCATGAGGCTCCACCCTAGTGGCTGCAGCTAATATAACCATTTGTTGAAGGCCTCACCTCTAAACACCAAGGTTGGGCCACATTTCTGCCTCATGTTACCTTACAGCGGGGATTAAAATCAACACACGAAGCCTTGGGGACACGTAACACCCCCAAACCACAGCACACACTTTCCCATTTCCAGCTGTCTTGTGTCTGGCAGAGCTCCTGCTCTGTTGTTCCTCATCTCTTCTTTCCATAGGACCTGCAAAGCCGCCTTCTCCACCGGACCTATCCAACTCACCCTTCGAGCCTCAGCAACCCTGCCCAGCCTCACATGCTCTTCTCCCGAAGCTTCTGCCCCTGTGGGCTCTTTACATCTCTGATGTCCTTTGGTGACTTTCCAGGAAGGCCTCTGATCTGGGCTTTGGGGACATGGCAGTGGACAAGGCAGACCAGTTTTCATTCTCTGGAAGTTCCATCTAACATATGCTCTTAGTGGCAGAAGCATTCTGCAGAAGACAGGTCCTCTAAGAACCTTATTTGGCAATTGTTTTCACAGGGAGCAAAAATACTAGCACTTCATGCCACATCTGCATACAGGATTGCATCCAAATCAGTTCAGCTCACTACAGAGTTACCAGCCTGGTGCTGAGAAGCCAGGCTGAATCCGAGACTGTTTTTATGGCCAACTAGAATACTTCCAACAGGACCCCTCTCCTCTTCCCTGGGAGTTCGGTTATAGCCAAGAGCAGATTAAGTCAAACCATCCTTTCTGTACATGTCTCAGTGGGGAGCACTGAGAACCCCTCTGTACTGGCAGAAGCAGAGTAACCCAGAAATAGGCGTGAGACTTTCAACACCTTTAACATCACACCTCAGTGACTCACGAATACCTAGCCCCTTAGGCTTAAGAGGACACAAGGTATGGGATGTTGGCCCATCTGCTCGGTCTGATCGCTAGCCAGCCATTGACTGGAGACTGTTCATTTGTTCCTCCATTTAAAAATAATAACACATTTAATATGTAAATGGGTCTAATATATATATATATATATCTGCACTGTTCTGGGGACAAGGACTACTGTCCTGTGGAGCTTCTATTTTAGAGGCCCCTCTACTCTTGAGTTTTGACAGAGAGAGCGAGCGAGAGAGAGAGAGAGAGAGAGAGTAGAGAGAGAGAGAGAGAGAGAGAGAGAGAGAGACAAAAGGGGGGCAGGCCAAGCTTTGGCTCTATCCATCTTTGTTTACCAACTTTAATGAGTTGAGTTCATCTCCCCCCAAAATGATGTTGAAGTCCTAAACCCCAGTTCCTCAAAGTTGACTGTGTTTCAAAATAAGGGCTTTATAGATGTAATCAAGTTAAAATGGAGTTAGTAGGGTGATCTCCAATCCATTATTAGTGTCCTTATCAAAGGGGAAAATTCCAGCCACCAACCTGAGAGTTCTGAGGAGCAATGGCTACAGCAATGCTCACAAAGAGGCCGACACCCTATAAGCATGGACATCTGCTGACTGTGGATGTGGGTGTATTTAGTGGTGGAACAGTTTTTTCTTCTGATTTCATAACACTATTATTATTATTATTATTATTTGATACCAGGGATTGAACTCAGGCCCTTGTGCTTGCAAGGCAGGCATCATAACCATTGAGCCAAATCCCTGGCCCTCATAAGACTTTTTAAAAAACCCTGTTAGTCCTATTTTTTCTCTTCTTTCTCCCTCCCTCCTCTGTCTCTCTTTCTCTGTCTCTCTCTCTCTGTCTCTCTCTCTCTCTCTCTCTCTCTCTCTCTCTCTCTCTTCATGAACTCATCAGTGATGCTGCCATTCTTTCCATAGCAACACACTAGGATACTCACTCGGCTTTGCTGGGAGAATTCTAAGAAGGACTCGGGGGAGGGAGAAGAAAATGTCATGTGGTGGAAGGGAGGAGGGAGACATTTTAAAACCATCAATGCTCAA